ATATTTCCCATGGAGATATGCACCACCTCCTCCCACTTGTGGGTTTTTTGGCCTGAACTGAACCCAGTCAGCCACACTGCCAAACCACTGCAGAGAATTTTATAGGTCATCAAGGGCCCCAGAAAAGTACATGTACCAACAGGACACTAGTTTTACACTTGTTACATCAAGTCATGGGTATTTTCAGTGTGGGCACTGGTGACCCTAAAAATAATGTTTCACCCTGTTATGTTGTATTTGTTGCCTGTTTAATATATTTTTATGTGTTGTGTTATTTCGTGGAAGTCTCCAACTATCTGTCAAGTAAGTGGGGATTACTCTGTAGTTAGAAGACAGAACAGGAGTACTTTAAATTTAAATTTGTTAGTCTCTAAGGTGCCACAAGTACTCCTGTTCTTTTTGCGGATACAGACTAACATGGCTGCTACTCTGAAATCTGTAGTTAGAATTTTCCGCCCAAGCTGCCCTGGTGACCCTGCCAGGAAGGAGCGAGGGGGGTGGAGGCACCGCCAAATAATTTCATAGAAAAAAAGAAAAAAGATTCACCCTGCTGAGTGGGTGGCGGAATCCAAAAGAACCCAGACCTGTCCATCAAAACCTGGAAGCGGATTGCCATTAAAGGAGGTAACCAGGTGGAGAGGGGCGCTACACCTGTCTTCCTCTTCGACAGCACTTTGGTGGCAGGTCAATAGTTTTGGGGTTTTTTTGTTTGTTTGTTTTTTTCTGCCGCTTGGGGTGGCAAAAAAGCTGGAGCTGGCCCTGCCAATGTGGAGATTGCATCACCCTTTCTATTATAAAATATTCTCTGCACCTTCTTGAGAAGCTCTCGCCCCTTCCTTGATTGCTGCAGCCTTTGCAGTTTGGGAAGGGGTCAGTGCTGGGGCCAGGGAGGTGCCTTCTCCTAATGCAGTGAGATGCCTTCCAGGTTTGGCTGAATTATAAACTGCTGAAAATCACCATTTCCCTTCTCTCACGTGAGTTCCTGAGGGTATTTTTGGTAGCACACCACAGAGAAAGTAGTGCTTTTCACTCATTTAGCTTTTTTTACTTTTTTCACACCTTCCCAGTTGAAAAAACTCAAAAGACTTTTCCCCCTGTGTTCTTACTTTTTTACTTTTTCCTAACTTTTTACAGTGGAAGAAAAGATGAAAAAATAGAAAGGGAGAGGATGTGGCAAGCCTGTAAATCCAAAAACTGGAAAGGAAAATTGAATGTTTCATTTTCCAAAAGTTGAAATAAATCAACATTTTAGTTAGAGTCTAAAGAAAAATTTTCATTCCATTTCCACATGCCAGTATCTCAAATGTGTTTAAAAATTGAAATACTGCATTCAAAATACTTCATAGGAAAAATTTTGGGTTGTTGACCCACTCTAATATTTACCTTCTATAAAAAAAAAATCAAACAGCGTTATTTAGTGTATTTAGTCAAAACCAAAGGTACAAGAATTAGAAAATACCAGAGTTTAGGTTACCTATGTAACGTTAATTCAGCCCCCCACCCTTCCTTATGCATATACATTATGATACAGTCCAATTGTATACACACATCCCATAATTCTCACCAACCCCCAACTCCAGCCTCCTCCAGTGCACTGGGAGGATGGTGCTCAGGGGATGGGGGAGCTGTTGAATAATTAGGTTTATCCTCATCATTCAACCTGTGATCCA